CCACTAGACGACCAGAATCAGTAGAAGTTATAGAAAGTTCAATTATTAAGAAACCTGCACTCTTCAAAAAGAATTCCTGCAGCAACGTCATAGTGCCGGCGCTGTCAGCAACTCTCCAGAATTCACATCACCAAAAACCCTTCCGAATTGAAGATACAGCGAACGGAGATCATTGTGACCATCTGTGGGTTCTGATCTTTACAACACCTCTCTCCCGCTGGACCACAGTCTTCGGACGCATTGTGCACTCTGCTGTATTGTGGCCGCTGCTCCTTCTTTCCAAATCTCTAAAGTGAATGGTTCGGCGAACGGAGATCATTGTGATCATTTGTGGGTTCTGAATCTTCACTGCTATCACTGACCGCTGTGTCACAGTCTTCGGACGCATAGTGCACTCTGCTGTATTGTGACACTAGCTCACCCTTTCCTACAGTGATTAATTCAGCGAACGAGGGTCATTGTGGCCATCTGTGGGTCCTGAATCCTCACTCTCCAGACCTCAGCTACGCCACAATCTTCGGACGCATTGTACACTCTGCTGTATTGTGACACTAGCTCACCCTTTCCTACAGTGATTAATTCAGCGAACGAGGGTCATTGTGGCCATCTGTGGGTCCTGAATCCTCACTCTCCAGACCTCAGCTACGCCACAATCTTCGGACGCATTGTACACTCTGCTGTATTGTAGTGATAGCACTCTCATCCCCACCCCAAAGATAATTGGCTCGGCGAACGGGTATCATCGTGATCACCTGTGGGTCCCGAGTCATTATCATCTTAACCTTTAACTGGACCACGATCTTCGGACGCATTGTGCACTCTGCTGTATTGTGGTTCCAGCTACCTCTTTCCAATACAAAAGGCTAGCAGAGAGAATAAGTAAACAAAAACATTTCTTGTCGCCTGTGGTACTACTAGCAAGCTAGAGAAAATTATAAAGTGTGTGTATGTGTGAGCGAGAGCAAAATAGAATATTAAGGATACCTAGTCTCTAACTAATAGGACAATATATCATTATTCTTTTATCTTAAAAACTCCAGTGTCTGAATTGTTTCTGAAGACGCCTGCCCAGTGCACAAACCCTACAAAAAGTCTCGTGATTCCCAACACTCAAAAGTCACGAAACGTCTCAATATTGATTTCATTATTGTTGAACAGGGTAAACAGTTTTAAAGAATCTTTGAAAGATACTTATGTATAAAACTGTCGTATAATAAAAAAGTAGTTTATGCTTCTTACTAATTGATTATCAATAATTCCTGCCCAAAGATTTATACTAAATTTTTCCGGGTGTGCTCTTACGACACTAACATGAGGGTTCTCTGTCGACCAGTAAACATTATTGTGTAAATTAAACACCCCATCTCTTGCGAAGCATGATTCGTCCGTAAACATAATGTTTTTTATAAATTCAGGATCATTTTTGTGCTGCTGAACAAGCCACGTACAGAAATTTCGGCGTAATGGAAAATCCTCCTCTTTAAGCGCTTGTATACGTGTGTAGTGGTATCCGTGCATTTTGTTTTCCTTTAATATCCTCTGCGTAGTACTATAACTAACAGCGCACATTCGTGAGACATTCCGAATGCTTCGTCTTGGACCTTGTTCGAATGCCTCTAATATGGCGTCCTCTGTCTCAGGGGTAAGTGCTGTCCGTGATGCACCTCCAACTCTTATCGGAACTAAGTTTCCTGATACGGCTGCTCTGTTTGAAAGATTTAAGATAACAGAACAGCAAGGTTGTCGACGATCCGGATACAACAATCGATATTGTCTAAGAGTCGCTGACACGTTATGGCAACATTCTCCATACAGCATTAGCATATCAGCATATTCTTTTGCCGTATACGGGATTTTTGACAAATTTTTTCAACTAACTGATAACACGATATTTTAATAACGTTTATTTACGAAACCTGAGTTGCCTCTGAGCTATTATTTCAGAAATAATTTAAACAGCTTTTGTTCTTTCTCCCGCTTTTTCATGTACATCTTTTGTTTGATGTGGTGACACTATTGACATGAAACCTGAGTTGCCTCTGAGCTATTATTTTCCCGTATACGGGATTCCATTTATTTTTGACTAATTTTTTCAACTAACTGATAACACGATATTTTAATAACGTTTATTTACGAAACCTGAGTTGCCTCTGAGCTATTATTTCAGAAATAATTTAAACAGCTTTTGTTCTTTCTCCCGCTTTTTCATGTACATCTTTTGTTTGATGTGGTGACACTATTGACATTTAAGAACTGTTCATAATGTCAGACACGTACGTCACAGAATCATTTTCATGAGTTCAATATGATGGGGATGAAGCGAACGAGGTTGTGTCAAATACTGAGATTGTGGCGTTTCCATCTTGTAGCAACAAAATAAAAGTCAGATGGAACGGCAAATTTTATGTAGCACAAGTAATTGCGGAGAGTTGTAAGTTTTTTCGTGGAATATTTTGAATACCAAAGATGTACACGAAAAAGCGGGAGAAAGAACAAAAGCTGTTTAAATTATTTCCAAAATAATAGCTCAGAGGCAACTCAGGTTTCGTAAATAAACGTTATTAAAATATCGTGTTATCAGTTAGTTGAAAAAATTAGTCAAAAATAAATGGAATCCCGTATACGGGATCGTATAACACGTATCCCTTTTTTCGTTCCTAGAATGTCCACACCAAATTGCAGCCTTTTGCGACTTCCGGTGGCAAAGTTACGCAGCACTTGTTCTTGAAATTTTGCTTTATATTTTATTTTCGTTCGATAATTACTTTATTAAAAGTAATTATTAATGAAAATCAATGAATATTGTTAAGGTAGTCCTTGCACGCAACGGTGCTCAACCTCCTCAAAAGTGAAAATTCCGATAGAATTCTCGATGGGATAAAAATCTTTAAAAAATAAAAAGCATATAGGAGGTGCGCAGAAGATTGACTTTGCATAATAATACTTCCAATCGCCCTACCCCATGAATATTGTTATTCCTTTAACAATATTCATTTTTAATGTTGATTATTTCATTCCTTTTAGCGGCTAAAGTTTGGCTTCGAAAACGTAATTTTTTAAAATGAGCTCATGGAACAAATTCTGGAGTAATTTTTCCCGGAATTTTTTTAAATTACTTTATTCCCATGCGAACCAACGGTTGGGCCAATGGTTGGTTTCGCGCACCATTCGACCATTTTTAGTTGGATTTTCGTTGATTTTTTCGAAACCGACCGAAAATCCAACTAAAATTGTCGGATGGCGCGTGCAAATCAACCATTGAGCAACCGTCGGTCCGCGAGGGCAATTTAAAAAAATTTCATGAATTTGAATTCATAACCACTTTTTATTAGTGATTTTCTTTTTAATTACGAAGTTGATTGAAACTGAAAGATACACTGTAAAAACGAAGCGTGTTGTCAAGTGTGTTGTTTCCTATCCTTTACGTGGTAGTCACTTTTTACACGCTTGCAAGCGCATTGCTCTTACGTATCATTACCATGCAAAAGTAACACATTTGTAAGTGTATAAAAAGTGACTACAATGGTGTAACGTGACAAAACGACCAATCTCTCAGTACTCCTGTACTGAGAGCGCACTCGTTACAAATAGACGACAAGGACCAGACGCGCGACTAATGTCAACACTAGCCGATAGATGAAAAACGTCTCCCGAAAGTCAATCCGTGGACAGTAATAGAAAAATAATCCGATAGAGGATTAGCGCTTCTCGCTTATAAATATCGGACTACAATCAGTCAAATACGACATTTCAAATCAATCTAATCAGGATAGTCGAAAATCAGAAAAGATAAGTGAGTATAGTTCAAGTCAGCGTAACTTAAATCCGCAAGGATAGCGCATTTAAAATCATATACTGTTAAGCTCGATTTATGCCCTCTGGGATAGAGCATATTCATTTCATTACTGATCATAACTGTGTCGAATGGCTACGGAACATTAGCATTAGCTATTCCGCTTAGACCTACACGTACAGAAAATTTGTCCAAGTTCTGAGGAGAACATAGCGATCTACCTCAGAAACTTCAATCATCGCCATATTGTTATAATCTATAATCCGCGCCGTGATTAGTTGAGTCGCACACAGTGCTATAGCCAATAGATAGGCAAAGCGCAACTAGGGCTATAGGATCAACACTGGCATATCCTCGGTACCTCACAGGCAGGTCAGAGAGAGATAGGAGTAGAAAACAAACATAGGACGTTTCCCTGACAATCCTTTCCAACTATACCGATTAACGATAATTCAATAAATTTTTGTTATTTTATTTTACTTTATCATCCTGTGTCGACTAAATTCTTAAAGACGCCAGCCCCGAATACTTACCTACATCCCATTTCGTACATTCATAAGGAGCATATGAAATTGCACTATCGACAAACGTTACAATGGAAAGGATAGGAAACAACACACTTGGCAACATGCTTCGTTTCTACAGTGTATTTACCATTGATGTGTTCCAGGATAAATTGTTTCTCTGATATTATGAATTTCGCCAATTTGATCAATTTTGAATGCTCCAAATGATTCACCCAACACTCGGCTGCAATGGACCGAGCAAGTCCAATAGGAAATTCGCTATCGTTTCTGAGTTCTTCCCTGTACGGAATGAGCGCCCGTATTATTTTAGGATACACGTCGTCACGGGAAGCGAAATGACGATTTGCTCGTTGCATAATCGTTACTTGTTAATTTTGAGTGTACTGTAATAATTTAAAAAATTTGAATCGTTTGCCGAAATGTTGAGATTTGAGTACACGTTGACGGGTTCGGAATGAAAGAAAAAAATGTTGAATAGCGTGACCATGGAGCCTAGGCTCCATGAGTGTGACTGTCATTTATTTCGTAATAAATACGGTGATTAAAAGTCATTTTATTTGAGTCTTGAAATGAGGCAATAAAAGGCAGAGACAAAGGCAATGAGGCAGATTCTTGAAATGAGGCAATAAATAAAATTTTTGAGAATTCTATTGTCCTATCGTTCTATCCATGGAGGCTACACCATGTAGCCTGGGCAGAAGGAGACCAAACTTCAATAGTAGAATGCTGAAAAAACTGCCCTGAAACATGGCTTTTGTAGCTAGTTCCAAATGAGTCATGAGCGGCTCTGAAGACACCGAAATTGAGGAAAAGAACGAAGCAGTAAGAAGATTAATTTTTTTACGGCAAACCTATAAATATGTTTTGCAACATGGTTTGCAATTAAAATTGATTGTTTTTTTTTTTTTCATGTAGAATTATACAAAAATTAACGAGTCTGTTGTAATGGCAGAAACCAAAATATTAGAAGAAAACAAATTAACTTCGGATAAAAATGTACAGATGAAAATTAACGTGGATTCAGAAAAAAATGAATCCATAGACGAAAATGTTGTGACAAAAGTATTAACAGAACGAACATCAATTAATTCTATATCATCAAATGAAAATGAAATTCTAAAGTTAGTACTTCAACTATGTTACTTCTAGATGTTTTTCTGCAGAAAAATCAATAATTTGTTATAAAATTATTTCTCATAACTCACTTAGAGTTTTTGTTACAGAAAATGCTTTGATTCAGAAAATACTTTAGATAATAGTGAACGAGATATGAGAGTGGTAATGGAGAAAATGTCGAAGTCATCTAATGGGAATGAAATCAGAAACTCAGTATCTTAACTGTTTTGAAGTGGCAAGTTTCGAATATTTATAGAATTTGGAAAGTTACATATTTTTTATATAGAATAGTTGTCGATAATTTAAAAATACAAACATTTTTTACAGGACAAGCCAAGACTTTGACACTCATCTCGAATTCAGTGGATGATTGAAAAAAATTAAAAACGTTAAACGGGATGATATTTCGCATTCCTTACCTCTCTGCAAAATTTATTTCGAAGAAGCCTAAGATGTCATTGTAGACTTGGAAAAATAATTAAAATCAAAAGGCCATCGAAAATGACGTTTGGCGAAAACAGTGAAATTACTTAATTCGATGTTACAGGTGATGAAAAATAGGAAATTACTGACAGAAGAAATGGGGACTAACTTGGAGGTAAATGAACGTTAGAGATAGCGTGTATTTAAATATAAGATTACAGTTTCATAGAAAACAATTGTACATACTGTAACGTATTTCTTTAACTTGACCCGACACCGATAGCAAGACATACGGGAACGACTATCTTCGAGAATCAACCTACGTTACCTTCGGCCGTCCACCCGTCGTTCGTGCATCCGCAAGCCAGGCGGGCGCCAGCCAATTCTTTTTTCACCGGGAACTGACGAGCCGGTATAAACTGGGAGTTGGGGTGGAACAGGCCCAACTCCACCAAGAACGAGAGCTCTGACGGAACCTATCAGAAGAGGCGATAGCTTAACGGATCCTGTCGATTTTTGGGGACGCGTAAAATCGAGAAACGCAACCGTAGGTGCTGATCTTTGGGGTCGCGTAAAATCAGCAAACGCAACTGGATACACGAACGGGAGCGGACGGTTACGGAAATGCACGGCCGCTCAGGCTGCTAGGTTTGAGGTAGAGAGGGTCGGAGTAAGAGTCCGGCAAATAGTGCGAGAGACAGAGAGCGACGAACCGAGAACGTATCAGAACGAATCTTAATCGTCTATCGAGATCCCTTCACCAATTAATAAATTGGGAATCCTCACCGGAGCTGGTGCAGCTAATCCATGGAGGCCGAGAACTGTATCCAAAGGACACTGGTGAGCACTGCACTAAGGCACAGCACTACACCACCGTAACACTCACAGGAATTCATAGAATTCCTGGATATCGCGAGAACAACGCGAGAACTGTACGAAGCGAGAACTTGCTATACCGTAGCGAAACACGGCAAGAAAAAATATCAACAAATAGCACGGGAGCACGAGCCAGCCCGTGACTGATAGCTTAACGGATCCTGTCGATTTTTGGGGACGCGTAAAATCGAGAAACGCAATCGTAGGTGCTGATCTTTGGGGTCGCGTAAAATCAGCAAACGCAACTGGATACACGAACGGGAGCGGACGGTTACGGAAATGCACGGCCGCTCAGGTTGCTAGGTTTGAGGTAGAGAGGGTCGGAGTAAGAGTCCGGCAAATAGTGCGAGCGACAGAGAGCGACGAACCGAGAACGTATCAGAACGAATCTTAATTGTCTATCGAGATCCCTTCACCAATTAATAAATTGGGAATTCTCACCGGAGCTGGTGCAGCTAATCCGTGGAGGCCGAGAACTGTATCCGAAGGACACTGGTGAGCACTGCACTAGGGCACAGCACTACACCACCGTAACACTCACAGGAATTCATGGAATTCCTGGATATCGCGAGAACAACGCGAGAACTGTACGAATCGAGAACTTGCTATACCGTAGCGAAACACGGCAAGGAAAACTATCAACAGATAGCACGGGAGCACGAGCCAGCCCGTGGCACTTCGGTCGGTGCCCCGAGACAGACTGCTTTGACAATAGCCAAATTCGAGAACTAATCATTCTGATTGGTCGAGAGCCTTATAGCCGATAACTCTTCTATCTCCTTCGAGTCGTCCCTTTAAACCAAATCGAGAGCGTTCCTTAGCGAATCGGTACATAATCTTTGGAGATCCTCCACGGCCGCTTCCCCAGGGCATCGGGCGACAGCTGGGCATCACATCCTTAACTCGGGCAGGAGGTTCCTCTCCTGCCCTTAACCATATCACAACTTCCTCCGCCCGCTCTACAGCCCTTTGCCCATCTCCAGCGGGGCGCCGGTATCTCACCCGGGCTTCTGCCGGTCCGTGGAGACGTCTCCGTCGGGTACTCTCCTCTGCCGGGCAACTCGGTACGTCGAGACTATATCCCCACGGCAGATTCGAGCACCTCGACCTCAACTAAACACTGACACAATCTTACGAGAGCCTTGACATAACTGTACGAATCAACCCGAGAGCGTAGCTTCTGAGCAGGGTGGCGACCCGAAGAGAACCAGAAATCGAGAACGTTATCTGTATCGGTAACCGGAGCCGCCTTGGGACCGTGATTCGAAAAATCACGTCACAATACATGTAATTAGATGTATATTATGTATCAATTTTTATATTTAAATAAATTGTCAGGTTTGTCTAGATCAATTAGTAGCTCCAACTCTTTTATCAGTTATGCAAACAAATAATGTAGGGATGGCCTTAAAGCCCCATCTTGTGATGTTATAAAAATTTGTGTAATTGCGGAAAAATGTGTTTGCGCTGTGAATGTTTTAAATTATTTAGCAACCATTACCTTTTGCAATATTCCTTCGTATATTTTCTCTGATACTAGCCACATGTTTGATCAAGGATTTTTAGCGGATCATCGTACCCAAATAATAAAGCTCATCATTGTGAAATATATAAATTTACGATTAAAACATGCAGCATCAAATGAAAACAACACTGCGATACGTATCAGACATCACTTGACTAAAATGATTTTATTTCATAATCAATAATAATTCGAGTTTAAGATTATTTCATTTATTCATACTTTTATATAATAATACAATTGAGTGCATAATAAAAGAAAATTTAATTAGTTCTTAAACGTATCAAATATATAAAAAAAGTTCATCATGAAACATACATTTTACTGCGCGGGGTTCCCTTATTCCTGATTCCGCTCCTGCCCAAGAGGACGGCAGAACGGTATTCACAATTCGCTCTCTCTTCCTATTTCCTGTTACACTTTCTGCGCTACAGTGAGCAGTCCAGTGATATATGTCGATGGTTCCAACAGGTGATTGGAGCGCCATCTCACTGACATAAGGAGAGGGTGTGGCCGCAGTGACTGACAGGATGATAAGGAATGGACTTATGGTAAGGTAAGGAGTGATAAATGAAAATGTACTCACGTCACAAATGATAATGTACTTAGCTGACAGGTCTTAGAGTCCGCTTGTTCTCGTCTCGTGAGTCCTATGTCCTCGCAGTCTTCGTCCACCGCAGCGATCCATGCACGCACGCACTACACACCACTGCACTACCACCATATAGCTCGCTTTTCGGCTGAAATAAACCTTAATATCAAACTGATTTTTGGTTCGACGCATGTGTGGGCCGCTCCTAGATGTACTGCGATACTAGGCTAACCCGCGGCAGAGTCGGAGCAAGCCCCAGTCACTCCGCCAAGTTCCAAAAATCAGTTTAATATTCTGGTTTCCCAATGGGAAACGTATCAGATATTAAGCTGATAAGAACAGATATACTGTGATTGTGCTGTCTTATATTCTACTTATGCTAATATAACTAGTTCAATCTTCTTCTCCTTACGGGAGGTTCCTCGTCCTCTCTAAGAGAGTAGCCTAATATTTTTAGGTGTTCTCTAGTAGCGATAAAGATGCCCAATTCCACGGCTAAACTTTCTTTGATGAGGTCATCTATCACTTTCTTGTTGACGGATGTCTTCACATCAGTCATTTTAAAGCGGCCCTCTGCCCCGAAGGACTTCGCTTGGAGAGCCGCCGTTATGGCCGCGTAATATAAATCAGGATACTTTCTATGATCTAGGCCCTCTATGCCCGAGACCTTCTTCAGCTGAGCGTAAGGAAACTCAGACCCCATTGAGGCCGAGAGTGAGTCATAGGCCTGTTTGAAATCCACCGCTTGTTGGGCTACTGAGGCCACGGTGAGTGCCGCGTTTCCGGACCTTGTATTAGAGTACATAACCTGTGCTGCCTTCATGCCACAGAAGCCCCACACTAGTTTCGTTTGTTCTATTACGGACCCTAGTGCCCCAGGAAGCTGAACGGTGAGTGTCTTTTCGATAAGATAGTTTCTAAGTGAGGTGCGTATGTTTATCCAAGACTGAAATTCTATCAGATTATCCGTAAAAGAATCAAGACGGAGTTTTTTTGCTTTAAAATAATCTTCTATTGCGTTTGAGGTACATACTGCTGCCCATCTTTTTACGAGATATTCCGCGTTACTATTGCGACCACGCTCCTCGAATATTTCTTTCCCTATGACCATTAAGCCGGCCATTCCGGTGAATACAAGAGCCTGCTTCATTATGGGGCTGTTTAAAACTCCTGGTGCTTCAGCTCTTTGTTCTTCTGTAGGCTCCAGAGCCTGTCTAGTTACCGCTACAGGTCTTCGTCCTAATACCCACAACACAGCAGACAGAACGGAGGAGGCAGGTAGTGCATTGTCTGCAATGCCATTTCCCCAGTATAAATAGATCGGAGGATCATAATAATACGCTTCATTCGTGGTATCTTGTTCCCATTCTCTGTTTATCGGGACCTCTTCAATAAGTGTCTCCATGTCTTTTGGACTCGTAATTTAGGGATGTGTTGAATCAAGAATATGGTTTTTCGGTTCGTCGAGTTTAGCGGCCACCAGCAGGTGCTAGAGGTGTTCTTAGGCCCTTGACCAATTCTGCTGCTCATATTACACTATCATTATTTATTAATGCAGACTGCAAATGTTAATTTAAAAAAATAAATATTTTCAATTTTTATAATATACAAATATTTCGACCCCATTCTCATAATTACTCTTTAAACATCGTACGAGTATTAATTCTTCATGGTGTAATGTAATTTATTATAAAGTGGCTTTCTACTTCCAATATTACCATTAATCTACACTATTAAAATTTAAATCTTCAAAATTAAGAATACTACCAAAGGCGTATTATCGTGCGACTAAAATGTTAATGAAAATTGTATATAGCATAATTTCTACACAGATTCTGAGTATGTTTCAAAATTCATTGTCAGTATTGTTAGCATGGTTGTGTCTCACTGAATTGCGTACAGTTAAACAGGGTGTAACGTTAGTTACAAAATATGAACTATTTAAAAACTAGCGCGCCACACGCGGCCCTCCGGCCGCAGTGGCTTGTCGCCTTACATCGCCTTGCGAACCGATGCAAGGCGCGCAAAACGTTTTGCGTTTAAGGCACGACCGCTGACGTTCGCGCTTTGCGCTCACCAGCCTACCGACGCTCGCGCTCGCTCGATCGCCCGACACTCGCGCTTTGCGCTCGCCCAACTTGCTCTACAATTGTGCTAAATTATTGGACAATCGTTTATATTTCATAGTTATATGATGTATTGAATATATACAAATACAAAGATTCAATTTAAACCGATAAACTCTTTAACTTCAATAAAAATGAATAATAATAATAAAAATAACAATAAAATGTATTGTGACGTGCTGGACCACGAAAATGGCCCAGGGTCTGCTCGAATTAGTTATCGTAACGCGGAGGGGGAGGGAAACAAAGAAAGGGGACACGGTTTAGAATAAAGAAAAGAAGATATAATTAATAAAGTACATTCGTAGTAAACGTAAAACCAAAAGCTAACAGAACATAAAAGAAAAGAAAAGAGAAGAGAATACGGCGGCAGATGAGTGCACGCTCTATCACGCGTTTACTCGCGCGGGCGCACGCGGCCTAGAAAGAATTTAAAGGGACTCGGTGGCGGAAGGGGGTTTCGGGGTTGGGGGGAGGGGAATTTATGGGCGCCAGCTACTTGTACATACAGGATCAAGCTCAAAATAGAACCATAAGGTTTATTATTATTATTATTATTATTATTATTATTATTATTATTATTATTATTATTATTATTATTATTATTATTATTATTATTATTATTATTATTATTATTATTATTATTATTATTATTATTATTATTATTATTATTATTATTATTATTATTATTATTATTATTATTATTATTATTATTATTATTATTATTATTATTATTATTATTATTATTATTATTATTATTATTATTATTATTATTATTATTATTATTATTATTATTATTATTATTATTATTATTATTATTATTATTATTATTATTATTATTATTATTATTATTATTATTATTATTATTATTATTATTATTATTATTATTATTATTATTATTATTATTATTATTATTATTATTATTATTATTATTATTATTATTATTATTATTATTATTATTATTATTATTATTATTATTATTATTATTATTATTATTATTATTATTATTATTATTATTATTATTATTATTATTATTATTATTATTATTATTATTATTATTATTATTATTATTATTATTATTATTATTATTATTATTATTATTATTATTATTATTATTATTATTATTATTATTATTATTATTATTATTATTATTATTATTATTATTATTATTATTATTATTATTATTATTATTATTATTATTATTATTATTATTATTATTATTATTATTATTATTATTATTATTATTATTATTATTATTATTATTATTATTATTATTATTATTATTATTATTATTATTATTAAGGTTTCTAATCTACATAAGATTAATTTAGCTTACAATATTAAGCTGTACATCAATTTTTTAAACAAGTGTGTATTAACATATATTTTAAATTTTTAAGTTACATTCTTTGAAAAAATTGAGTATGCATTTGCATGCTGCAATGTTTGGTTCGGCAATTAGAGACTCTACGTTCAAAGATAGAATAAGGTTAATTTTTAGAAGATTTTTTAACAGTTTGACTCTTTTTTCGTTGTACAATTTGCATTGAAAAATAACATGATTTAAATTTTCATCGAAGTCATTACAGTTACACATAGAATTTTGAATTATTCCAATGCGAGCAAGCTAAGCTGCTAGATGATAATGGTTACTTCTCATTCGATTGACAGCTACAATAAATTCTCTGCCAAGTTTACACTTGAAGTACCAAGGTTTACATACATTCTTATAGTAAAATTGAAAATAAATCATACCAGTGCCGTGATTTGGTCTTGTGAGGAACTCATGATTTTTATGTAACATTTGTTTTTTAAAGCTCTATTGTAAATCTGTAAACGGAAAAGTAATTATATCAGCTTCTTGACAGTCAGCAGCCTGTTTAGCGAGCCTGTCAACATTCTCGTTCTCAGTGATTCCCACGTGTGATGGAATCCAGAAAGAAGTGATGGTATTAGTATTGTTAGTGCAAAATTGATCGAACTTTTCTTTAATTTCAATTATAATATCACTCGTTTTGAGATTAACTTGAGAAGACTGAAGGCTTTGTAAGACACTTAGGGAATCAGAGAAAACGAGAATGTTTCTGTTTTTGTTACAAAGTGCGATGTCTAGTGCATCTCTCAGAGCGATTGATTCGGCTGTGAAAACAGAAGCATATTTGTCAATGGTTTTCTTAATACAGATGTTGAGTTCACAACCATAAGGTTCTAGTGATGAGAGGAGTCCCCACAAAAATTTTTAGCCCGATTGACTGAAGTCTCTCAGAGATAATCGTGTAACATGAAAATTTTTATTAAATAATACACGAAAAAATCGTAAAATCGATCAAATTGTCCTCTCATTTTGAAACGACGTAGAGGATCGGGATAAAAAAAAATTGTTTTTTAGTTTGTACGAGAGGAGACCTCCCCCAAAATTTCAGCCCGATCGGCCGAAAATTGCGTAAAATATCGCATCTCACACATTTTTCGCGATAGAAACTATAAGGCACTTGCGTACCGCGGTCGTGCCTAAAAACAAGTGAATGTCGGCATCGACACAAGAACTGTCGGAATCGACAAGGAAATTGTCGGAATCGACACATAAATTAATTGTATATACATTTTATATGACAGGAAAGAAAGAAATAAATGTTTTTACATATTGAGACGTTTCGTGATTTTCAAGTGTTCGGCATCACGAGACTGTTTATAGGGTTTGTGCACTGGGCAAGCGTCTTCAGAAACAATTTAGACACTGGAGTTTTTAAAATAACAAAATAATGATATATTGTCCTATAAGTTACAGACTAGGTATCCTTAATATTCTATTTTGCTCTTTCTCTCACACACATATACACACTTTACAATTGTTTCTAGCTTGCCTGTAATACCACAGGCGACAAGAAGTGTTTTTGTTTACTTTATTATCTCTGCTAGTCTTTTGGATTGGAGAGAGGTAGCTGGAACCACGATACAGCAGATTGCACAATGCGTCCGAAGACCGTGGTCCAGTTGCAGGTTAGGACGATAATGTTTAGGGACCCACAGGTGATCACGATGATCCCCGTTCGCCGAGCCAAATATCTTTGGGTGGGGATGAGAGTGCTATCACCACAATACAGCAGAGTGCACAATGCGTCCGAAGACTGTGGTCCAGCGGAAAATAGGTGTTGTAAAGATCAGAACCCACAGATGGTCACAATGACCCCCGTTCGCTGTATCTTTACTTTGGGAGGGTTTTTGGTGATGTGAGTTTCTGGAGCGCTGCTGCAGGTTTCTTAATAATTGAACTTTTTATAGCTTCTACTGCTTCCTGTCGTCTACTGGCGTACAAGTGTCTAGTTGATTCGTCTAAAGAGACACGACTGAATCGAGTGAATCGAGTGAGTTCCTATCGAGGAAGCCGCTGCTTATATCCTCGGTAGGAATACGTTAAAACTAGTGGGGATAACGATTTTTATCCACCCGAGGTGTTAACGTCGCTTTTTGGATTTAATATTTTGATTTATTATTTGATTTGATTATTTGATTTGACTAATTGGATTACCGGTTTCTTCAAGTACCGGCTTACTGGTATTTCTATCGTATTCGGCGCGTGCCCGCTTATAGCGTCTGGGCACTTGTTTGTTTTGATTTTAGTCTGTCGACTGTATTTCGGATTCTAGGAATGTTAAAGGTAATAATTTCTAATATTATATCCTCATGACTGTCGCTGTGACTAGATTCAAGGGAATTATGCAATATTAGAGAATTAAAGGTCCTATATTCTCTTTCCTTTATCGGCGTCGCTGTGAGAGGTCGATAGGATTCTTGAGGAATTCTAGGATTTGAGGAGTTCTCTCAGATACTGTTATGTACATCCACAGTGCGCTATGCACTCTTATGTGGGGCTCTTGACGTATCCATCATCGAGAATGAGTGGGAAGGAAAAAGGATAAAGGATAGGGGGGTATAAAGTCGGAACGTTTCAATATATGAAAGTGTGTTTATTTAAATAATTAGCAACGTAGAAGAAATTAGAATTAGAACCGTAATTAGAACAAATAGCAATATACAAAAGTGTCTATATATAAAAGTGTGTTTATTTAAATTACCGTATAATTAGCAACGTAAGTTTACAGCTTTCTAGAATTCTGAATGGACAAACCTAAAGTAAGTAAGTAATGTTTTGATAAATGATAAAATCACAAAACATATTTTTATTTAAATAATATTATTTTTATTGTCAGATTACAATTATTATTACACATATTTGTCGTTTCCGACAAGAATTTATTGCAATTGCATGTATCCGCGTGTCGAATCCGACAAAAATGGCAATTGTAACTATCCATCTGTCGAATCCGACAAATAATTATTTTTTCCCTATTATATACGTAGCCACTGCCATGGAACTGCTCCTTCACGCGAGACAAAGTATGTTGCTAAAGTATCACGCTGCTCCGTTGCTATCGTAGGTGAATGATGTGGTCCATTGAAACCCAGCCTATTCCATGTTCGGCTTGGTGGGACTCTCAGACGCAAGTCACCATAGATGATTTCTCCATTTCTTCCCTCTCTGTTGACAAATAATTGATTTATATAATACCTTCCTCTAGATTCCATTTCGTTGGTAATAATAAAATTATGTAAACATGTTGTTGCATGAACTATGTTTTCAGTGTTACGCCCGACGCAACGCAACCCCATTGCCCCCCCCCCCCCAGCACCCCTCAGTACCCCATTACCAAAGGTCAGAGACCACGACAGATGAACCGATCCTCGACGAACATGGGTAAATTATTATAAATCATAGATTATATATTGTCACATTCCGACCTTATACCCCCCTATCCTTTATCCTTTTTCCTTCCCATCAGAAACCACGACAGATGTAACCGATCCTCGCCAAACATGCGTTAGTTATTGTTAATCATAGATTACATATATATATTAATAATTAAGGGATATCATCATATTATATTATACTGTACACGACATCTCATACTCTCACACATTTACAGAAATTACACCAACACGGTGACATTGCAGGTGGATGAGGAGGAAGAAAGAGAGATCACGGCAACCAAAGAATAAGAACGGCACGGGCAGCAATGCTGAACGGGATACTTAGAATTGAGGTGCCTAAAGAGCATTTCACCATAGCCCGCGAATACCGCGCACAGCAGAACTCTTACCCGTCACCTTCGAACCCACCTCACCACCAAGATAATCCTGACAATGCACTAATCCAACGAAGAATCCGCGATCGAAGGCCTGCAATGAGAAATCGACCGAACGACAGGGTTCAATCGCCTCGATCACGCCGTAACACGTATCCAAATTCCAAGATATTTCCTGACATTGCATTCAATCCCCTCCAAACCCAAAATTTTTCTTACGAACTCCAATGCCGATCATCACCAGTTACTAATCAATCCTCCGGTAGAGCAATATCCCTTTTAGAGTCTTGAGCCGATTGTCCGCGCCAGTAAAGTGTTGTGCCGATCAAATACCTTAGGGCCTATTTTGATCTAGCTTGACTTAGGACCCAAGCGAAAAGTGTATCACTTCAGTGCCGGGCGTCCACGCGAAAAGAACTCATTTCTTGGCATTTCAATAAGCATTCGTCTAGGCGAGTGTCTACGTTAGGGCTGGACCAAGAATTTCCCGTTCAATCAAATCTATTTCACTATCGTCGAGAACCGAGCGCCGTCTCTCTCTCTTCCTCTGCTCATCCACCGGTAAGTAACTCACATTCCTACATCTTGATATATATATATCTTTGTAACTCAGACTACAGAAGTTGACGATCACACATACATTGTTATTCGGATTTCATTCCGTTAGTAGATTAATGTACACGCACTACTGCATATAACTACGACAGTTACTTGTACTCCTGTCTATCATTCATTATATGAGTTAAATTACACTTTCTTCTCTTGATTTGGAGACCTGAACCTATTACCTCCCAAATCTAGATAAACCCCCTTACCAGTAGCTTCAACCAAACTTCCGTAGAAGGAGTGAGTTTTCCAAATCAATATATTTAGTACCTGTTTGTGATCCTCATCTTAACTATCGACCAAGGGACATAAACGCAAATAGGCGTGCTCTAGCACCTTAAAGTGGCAAGAACCCAATACCTTTTACGTGATCTTTGATCTCAACACCTATGCTAGCTCCCTAATGCTCCCGCATACGGTCGCTCACGCATAGGACGTAACATCAGCAGTTTCAAGCTTGCAGCGCAATGGTGCTCGATGGACTGCCCACCTCGCAACGAGAATGCCAAAAGAATTTTCGATCACTCTGCGAGCTTTGGAGAGGCGATAATTAAATACGCGTTCCTTGTTGCCTAAAAGGTTTCGCCTTGCATACGGTCGCATCATGTAAGGTTTTAGAGGAAAGACTTCATCCCCAATAAAAGAAAAAGGGTGTGGAACGTCGGTATCAGGAAGATTTCTTGGTGTTGGTAGATCTATCAAACCGTGATTGAAGGCTTTACCCATATCGCAATTTGCAAAAATTCCAGCATCATTTAATGAACCATAATTTCCAATATCTACCCAAGTAAAACGATAATGGGCATCACACGTGGCTAGGAGAATAAAACTAAAAAAACCCTTTTAATTGTGAAAGGCTGTGCCTGATCGTGGTGGAGCAAGAATACGACAATGTTTGCCATCAACTGGACCCAATCAGTTTGGATAATTCCATTTCGTTTGAAAACCATTAGCAATTTCAATCCATTTATCTCTATTCGGCATCCTGAGATATATTGACTGGAGTACTTGTACTATTTTCTTGCAAACTTCTTGAACAATTGAGTACATGGTTGATCTGCCAATAGAGAAAAACCAAGATGTCGTACGAATACTGTCTCCACGTGCAATGTAGCTGCAAATACAAAGATACAATAGTTATTGTTTGATATTTTACTTAATTTTCAATAAACTAACCTCAATGTGGCAGCAATTCGCAGTTCTGGCTCTAGAGGTTTTCGAATACTTTTTTTGATAAGGAGTGGTGCCAACAGTTCATGAAGGATATTGAATTGTTGCACTGTCATTCTTGTAAATTGAAAAAACTCTTCGTGATCACTGAGTTTGAAGTAGGAGAACAGCCGATTATACGCGCCAAAGTCGCATCTAATATTCTCAACAATGTGAGGTTTCACCCACCATATTCTACTAATTCTTCGTCGAATTAGCTGCAATCTTTTTAATAGTATTTGTGAAACACTATTAGAGGCTTGCAATATATTGAAAAACACTCGAACATTTTTATGATCCATTTTCTTGCTTTCCAATTGATAGTAATCTTTGAAAACTTAGGTTCTGCTTCGTGATTAGAAGGTTTGCCGGATATGATGCATAATTTCTATTTTAACAAATTAAAATTAAAATAGATTATAATTATAAATTTTATATTAAAAAAAGGAGTAATTTATTATTTATTATTTATTATTTATTTTTATTTATTTCGTCCATATTTTTAACAATTGTTTGCTTAATTTGCAAGGTGAACACATATTTATAAAATCAACGGTGAATTAAAGGATGGTATGTATTTGTTTTAAAATCGTTCATAAACGTTTATCACTTCTTCACTTCTTGAAAAAAAAATGTCCACGACAGACGTCGAAAGTAAGTATAATTTCAGTTTTAACATTTTGTGTAAACCATTTAATACTATAATCCCATACCATTTACATAACATACCATAATATTTTTTTATAGTGAAAAAGCTTGAGCTATGCTCTCCACCACCACCACCGCCACCGTCTCAACAGCCGTCGGGAACACAGCCACCACGGGAGGAACCATCCTCCCCGTGCTGGCACATCGAGGAGGACGTCCCCGACCACGCGGCCACTACGGCCAATGTGACTCTGGAGCAGAGGATGGAACGCCTGGAGCGTCTCCTGCTCCAGAGTCACGATCCACGAAATGCCCCTGCCGGTAATTATATTTTAATTATTTATAGAAAAGCAATGAATAAATTAATATTAATTTATTAAAAATATTTATTATTTTTCAGTGCGATCAGACCCCAGATGGATCAGTGGAGGCGGAAGAAGTCGAGCCAGGTGGTATGATCGCCGGTACGGGGCATACGGTAGAGGTCGTAGGGCCGGGCGGTGCGGCGGTGGCGGCGGCGGAGGAATTATCATTATTTATTTTTAATTTGATTTTACTTCTTTTTTCTATTGTTGTTAAATAAAAATTGTTCTAATTATTTCATTTCTCTAACGACATTGATAATGATCTCGTCTATGTTCGCCATAATGACAGGTGATGACGGGGCATGCTCGATGCTACTCATGTTCCGTGCTTCGTGAAATACGTAATATTTTGCCAATATTTCCATGCGTGAAATGTCATTACCTGTCACCTGTCATTACCAGCTGTATAGACGAGCTCATTATCAATATCGTTAGAGAAATGAAATTTCTCTACGATAAAACTCATCGTGACTTTAAAAATGAAGTAATGATTTACTTATCTATTGAATAAACGCATACACATTCTTTTTTGATATTTATATATTGACTTTGATTATATATTTTGTTTCACTGGTAAGTACCGCCGAGAGCGGCTCTTCTTATTGTACGTTTTTTCCCTCGGAGAAGAACCGAGATAGTCGTCTTCACGAATCCCGAGCGGAGATCGGTGGTGCAGGCGGTCGGTACGGTGACCTGCGAAGATCTCCGCCAGGGAAGAGGTTCGCCCACCGAGCTTTGTAGGACCGCGAACCGCGTTGCAAAGGATTCGCGAACCGTGGTAGGGCAGGCTAGGGACGGTGGGAAAGGTTAACCTTGCGGCTCTTACGGAGGACCGCGCTCGCCGTTAAGAGGTATTGTGCGCGTCGGGACGACTTGTACTGGTCCCGTTTTTTTTTTCTATTTGAATAAACAGAAGTTCAAACTTCAAACGGCGTTTTCATTGGCGTACCCCGAACTGTTCAAATCTCGTCGCCACCACGTTCCCCTCTATCATCTCAGCTAGCTGAGGCTGAACAGCCGGGAGACCGAGACGAAGCGGCCATAGGAGGAACGTCGGTTTGGAGAATTCGCACCTGGCGCCCAACACTCGGATTTAGTTCGGATTTCGGATATTTTTCGGATTTCAGCACGTTGGGGGCGACCGCGGATTATTTGTAGGTGACGCCGGTGGATGGCATAGGTCACATATTGTAACCTTATTTGCACGATGCGGTTCTCCGGATCGTGCCAGAAAGGCGGGTTCGAGCCAGAATCGACTGTTAGGAATTTAGAAAAGATATCAGGGGGTCTATCACGGTTCTCGGATTGGGTAAAAATGACGAATGTGAGCGACTCACCCAATTACGATCAATCTCACCTCGTGAAAATACGAGACTACTCGCGTGAGGAGACTCGACGTGAAATTTCACGTGAAAAGGTGACATCGATGCAGCCTACCTCGAAAATAACGCGTACGTAGATGGTAGCAGTATTACTTGAGTGACGGAGAAGTTAATTAATAAAATGGATAATTTAAAGGTGATACTGTTTATGCCAAATCATGATAATACTATGTTAAGAATACGTAGAAGATTACGGGATGCCTCAAATCCATTTATGATACCGGAAAGTGAATTTCGCGGCCTTTACAGGCAAACAAAATAATTTTAGATACTTTTGGAGGTTATACTTTCTTGATGTGATGCTTATAGTAAAAACTAAAAATGATGAATACTCGAATAGTGGATTTATATATTCCATTGATGAAATTCTTTGCAATGTTTCAAAGATTATCCAAGGAAAAGCAGTACGAGTACTTATTGAAGACCTACGACCTCTACTGCCCAACGTCAGACGACGTCATGCAGTTCCTGTTGAATTACAGGTATTGGACTTAAGATATGACAAACTGATATGATGAATTACATTTTACAATGTATTATAAAATGTATTATGCTAATACTTTTTTGATATAGGTTTTATGTACCTTGAACTATATAGCTTTTGGTTCATACCAAAAGCGAGTTGGTCAATACTATTTGTCATGCTTGGCTCAGTCAACAGTTTGCAAAGCTATACGCAATGTTGTCAATGCATTGAATGATTTAATGCCTGACTGGATTCAATTTCCAATTGGAGATGCTGAAATTCAAAATGTTAAAGAAAGGTTAGTTTTATGAATTTAATTTATAATGAACTATAATCATAATCTAAGAAGGGCAAATTTATTTACTGCTGTGTTAAGGAATTACAGATTACACATTAAATTGAGTTTATCATATCGATCTAGTTTCTGGACACACACGCAATTTCCTGGCATTATTGGCGCAATAGATGGAACTCATGTAGCAATTGTTCCACCAAATGCTGAGAGAGAGCATCTCTACATTAACCGGAAATTATATCATTCGCTGAATGTTCTTATTGTACGTATTACATCATTTGGAAAATCCACAAAAAATATATAAAAATATATATTTATACAGGTATCGGATTACGGGGGTAGAATGTTGACTGTGAATGCTGCCCATGGTGGAAGAACGCACGATGCCAGAGTTTGGAGAGCATCTCTTGTATCAAACCACCTGCAAGAGATGTATACTGCAGAACGAAGAGATGCTTGGCTCTCTTGGGTAACTGCACTTTTAGTTGACTTGTTTACTTTTATTTCAGCTGTAGCCTATTAAACTATATGTATATGCTTTTTCTAGGTGATAGTGCCTACCCATTATTACTCTATTTGATGACACCGAAGCTGCGTCAACCAGAGGGTACACCTTCCGCGAGATACACACAACATTATGTCCGAGCTCGCTCCTGTGTGGAACGATGCATAGGCGTTTTGAAGGGTAGGTGGCGATGCCTCAGAAAAGAGAGAGCCATGCATTATGCATCAGAAGTTGCAGGTAACATATTGTTTGTATAATATACCGATTATTCTGTTGATTGTTGTGTGTAAGTATTGGCTCAATATATTTTCAGCTCGAATAGTTAATGCTGCCTGCGTTTTACATAACATCGCTATTTAGTGGAGACTTCCAGAATCAGAGCCGTATTATGATGAAATAAATCTAGAACTCTCAAGAGGAAATGAAGATCTACCAATGCTTAATGGGAATAAAGTTCGCGAGCGGATTATAAATATGTATTTTCAAAATGGAATGCCATTGTGATTTTGCAGAATTGTATATTGTGTAACAAGGGACAAAACAAGACGATTTCAGATGAGGGTAGAAAACGTCCTGTTTCTGCCCGCTCAATTACATTGGTCTGAAATTGGCTCGTTTCGACTGGCTAAACAGGCATTGAAACAGCAACTTTCAATACAGGTGTCATGAAAAAATAATTGTACATATAATAATTTACGAAAAGGAAAATAAAAATACATTACTTTAGTATGGACATTGACTTATTTATTTAAAATATATATAAAATAATATTTCATATTGTAATGTGACAAAACGATCAACCTCTCAGTACTCCTGTACTGAGAGCGCACCCGTTACAAAAGGACGACAAGGACACGCGGCTAGTATCAACACGCGCCGATAGGTGAAGAACGTCTCCCGAAAGTCAAACCGCGGAAAAATAATATCAAAATAATCCGATAGATGATTAGCGCTTCCCGCTAATGAATATCGGATTACAAGTCGTTAAATACAACAGTTCAGACCAACTCAAGCATTCGAACAGACGAAGTGTAAAGATCTCGATAAGTATCGCGAAAACACGGCATAATCAGCATAAATCGAAATCTGTCAAATAATGCAGATTCGCGTCAGAAAACTCAGAGTACGTAATTGTGTCGAAAGGCTACGGAAAATTAGCATTCGCTATTCCGAGTAGACCGCAACGTAGAAAATTTGTCAAAGTTCTGAGGAGACCAGCGTGATCTACCTTAGAAACTTTAGTTATCGCCATTTTGTTCAATCTATTATCCGTGCCGTTAGTAGTTGCGTCACACACAGTGCCATAGACAATAGCTAGGCAAAGCGCCACTAGGGTTATAGAACCAACACCGGCAGATCCTCTGTACCTCACATACAGGTCAGAGAGAGATAGGGATAGAAAACAAACATAGGCCGATTCCTAGACAATCCTGTTTCCTACTATACCGACAATTGATTTCGACTGAGTAATTGACACCGATTATAAAACTTTTGTACCGATTATCGAGTATTTAATAAAATTTTGTTATTTTATTTTACTTTACCCACCTGTGTCGACTACATTCTTCAAAGACGCCAGCCCCGAGCACTTACCTACATCCCATTTCGTACACTCATAAGGAGCGTACGAAATTGCACTATCGACAAACGTTACAATATGTTAACTACTCCATTCCTGTTCTGGATAAGACGGAGCAATTTTCTCCACATCTTCTCGCAAACGTGTGACATTATCGTCGATGTTACTCAATACATTTTTGAAGTCTTCGTGAATATTTTTTAAGTATCAGGCTATTTCTTTTTTCATCTCGATGTTTTCTCTAGCAATTTGCAATTTCTCTTCTTGAATCTGGATCATTCGATCTTGGTATTGCTTCTTGTTCGTCACTTGTTCCCTCAATAACTCCATTTTTTCTCGCATTAGATCCATCGCTGTCCTCGCATTACTTTATGTTCTACTTTGGTGATTATAATTACTCGATTCTGAAAAATCCCAAATATTGAGATAAAACTATTGTTTTCAAATGGTATATTCCATTTCATCACAACTCACAATGTCGATATCCAAAAAAAAATAATCTGTAATACTTTTGTTTTGCGTACGGTGAACATCGGTAGTTACTGGTGTTCTTTGTCTTTGTACTGTTATGCCGTGGTGAACTATATCGTTATAGATTCAATACGACATACAAGATTCCGCTGCTATGACTTCACGAACGGATTTTGTTAATTAAAGAATCAGTGAAGAGCAGACAATCTTTTGCTTTATTTCTCTAGAGGACCTTCTCTTACAAACTCACGACTAAAACTAAACTTAGACGTTATGTTTTCTAATAAGGTAAACTTAGTCTAACGGGAAAGAGGAATAGGAAGGGAGGGTTTTTTGTGTAATTGGGAAATTCCTATTTTAAAAATGCAGTGAACAAGGGTTTGTATATTTTTGGGATTAAGGATAGTTTTATGATAGAAGGGCATAACAGTACAATCACTTCTCTTTCGACGATGTCGTCTTCTATATTACTTTCCTTTAAACTACTGATACTTTCCTCCTCCTGTAAATGTTGAACGTTTGTCTTTCTATTACTATCATATAAAATATATGTTTCCCAATAGAAATAAAGTGGTTGTACTTACTATTGCCATAAAATGTAACTCATACGGGTCATCTATTTCATTAGATTGTGACCCAATTAGGGATGTCAATGGCTCACAGACAAAATTCTTCACTTCAGGGCTTCGGTTATGCAGAGCCACTGAAGTACGTATCTGCAAATTCCACATTTTAATTTATTTTTATTTGATAAAGGAAACAATATAAGAAAGTAAAATGTATACCAATATTCTCTTACCCTCTTATTTTCAACCGAGTGAGCAGCAAGTCCCATTGGATGACCTTCTGCAGTTCTTTTTGACGATCCTACCGAACTTAATCTATTAAAAAATCCTCCTTCTGGGACCTTATTCCTCGAAGATACATATATCCCTTGCGACTCGTTGAAAATTCTCTCCTTCGGGGATATTCTTCAAGCCGGCAGACTCCTAATCGATTACTTCAAGTAAATTTTCTTCCATGTCTGTAAGATTAATAATTTTCGGCGGTCCTCCGCCAGTACCAGCAGCGTAGCTCTTATTTCTGGCACATTTCTTCAAGACATTTGACTTCCAGTCTCTCCATGTCTATATTTACGTACAAATAATCCGAGTTAATTAAACAATTCATTTCATAAAAACAATTATAACTCATTCCTTATTACCTTCTGCCACTCTTTTGGTTGCTTATGTGGTCCATTGGCCATTGCATTTAGTGAGTTGCTGACCGTGAACCACATATCATCCTATGTTAACAAATTAGGTTACCATAAATATGCAGTCTATTTATTTAAGGCAAGACTACAATTTGTAACACATTTTTACTTAAAAATAACCTTTTCTATATTACGGCATTGACGACAAAATCGTGATGTATGTACAATATACTTATTAACTAAAATTTATAATATACTCACTAATATTTTTTTGTTCTCGCTGCTAATCGGCCTCGTGCAAAATCTCTGTTCTCCTTCATGTAATCTAATAAAATTCCTTTCTGCTTCTCTGTGACGGTCATATTTGTTTTCACTTTGAATAATGGCGTTAATGGCGGTGAGGCCGTGAAAATGTAAAATCACTAGCCGGAAGTGCCCTAGGGATTTTCACTCGACCGTTCCGTGATTGGGTGACCGAAGTCACGTGAGGTAAGAATGTGAAAAGTGAGTAAGCTCACCCGAGAACCGTGATAGGCCCCCAGGTGGAACAAATGAAAGTGAGATTTTGTTTTACAAATTTCAAAAGAAAAGTATATTGTCCTACAACGGAATATAAGAAGGGTTAGTGCAGGTCCAGCCTACAGAATGCTGAATGTTAGTAAGCGAAGAATAGATATAAACGTAAGCGGAAAGTAATAATGATTATATATGATATATACAGAAGATTAGTGTTCGGAAAGTAAATTGTATCAATACGATTGTTAGACGCGGTTTACCTAATCGATATGTCTGACGGGAACGGGAATAATAGGTTCGTCTACTCTCGTGTGATTCTATTTTGACTCATGTTGTTATTGTATAAATGAAATATGGAATAGTGTCTGAAAGCAGCCTCCGACTGGTGGAATTTGATTACAGAGTTGACTCGTTGAAATATAAGCGTCGTGCTGTTAAGCAGTTTTCCACTAGAGAAGTCGTGATCACAGGTAGACATGGTCCTTTTTAAAGCAATGTTTTTAAATGAATTTCGGTCGGCATGTGTAGCGGGAGCGGCACAATGATCAAATTTGTTAAAGTGACAGCCCAGCTGAAATGCAGAAATTGATTCTATCCAGCAGAAGAGAAAGTTTGCTCGATTACAAGAGTAGAAGTACCTTTAAAAATGATGGTCAAGTGGGACGGTTTGCCCGCTTGCCCGAGACGGTTTGCCCGTTTGCCCGAGACGGTTTGCTCGTTGCTTTACTAAAGGTAAGCTAGCTAGCTTAGGTGATAGAATCCTCAAATCGCGAAACGTCGCCGTTTATATACCCGTCAGCGGTGGGCCAGGGGGCCTGAGCGGTGCGGAAGACTGGGCGTCGCAATGCCTACGGATTGTTATTATTTGATGTTTCAGGTTATTCGAACTAGCGGGATCTATTACTACGGTGATGCGAATATCCTCGGATGTATTGGTTACAATATACTTGATTTTAAATCTATTTTTTGGATTGAATCCAAGAGTGATGGTCGTGCAAAAAAGAACAATCCTCTTTCGATTTTGGCATGCTCCATACGACAGGCGCTGAGTATTTTAAATTCGAAAGATCCTCGAGTGTGAAGGGCTATTGCAACAGGTATTATAGATAAAGCAATCGGCTACCCGTTCTAGCGCAGATACTTTGAATCAGGAGCAGGAGAAGAGGCAGTGTAAGATACGGTCGCAATTAGCAGATTAGTGTAGCGTTGTTTTCTACACAGTAAAAGGATAGACGTGTACCGTTTAACCAGACCCCATACCAATTCGATAGCATTAAATTCACAATTATAGGGCAGTAAGCGGAGTACCTGGTACCCAGCAGCCCATATCAGTAAGTCTATCCTGAACCTATTAATTAATAGAGGACAGTCAGGTTATGGGAACAGTTTGGAGATTGGAAACACAGGACGATAACCATGACACTGAAAAATAATATTTATACGTTGCATGCACACCTTTTTCTCTCTCTCTGTATAACTGCTAGCTGCTGCAGAACGGCTCATGTCGCATTCGGTGGAATAGGCATGTTTCATTTTTCAAGAAAATCCTGATATTCATGTTTTTTCCACGACGTTGTAGGCTGTTTTTCTGCAACAGCACTGTGGTACGGTGCATTATCCAGTACCACAATTGAGGGCTCATCCAAATTTGGAAGCAGCTGCTCCATCAACCACTTCTCAAAATTATGAGCGTTCATTTGCTCGTGGTAATCGCCGCCTGTGTTTGAACCTGCAACAAATAACAAATCTGCATTGTTCACAAACCCAGAACTAGTGCCTGCATGAAGGACGATGAAGCGTTTCCCCTGTGTATTACTCTTAAGCTGCTTGGTCATCGACCCATGCCTTAGAGCATGAACCTTTTTGGAAGATCCATGTCTCATCTAAAAACACAACTTGTGATGGCGACAATGAGTTTTCATTGGCCATATACTCCCTTATGAAGTTCCTCTTCTTCTGGATGACATCAGCATTCATCTTCAATACTCTTCGACCATCATTCAGTTGGTATCGAAATCCAAGCTCGCGCACAAGCTTATGTAGGGGTGGATCTTCCTCCCTCGAAAGTTGTACCACGAGCTCGGATTTGTTTGGGCAGAGTCGCCAGTGTTATGTGACATCCCTTGCGGCGCATGTCATATAAAATGTTCCGTATTTCCATCCTAGTTGAAGTATCAAGAGTGGAGAGTGATACATTAGGAACCACCCGTTGTCCCCTTTTTACCTTCTTCGCAGATGGCTCTGCAGAAAGATAAATGGAATATTGCCTTACTGTGTTGACGTGTAAGCCAAAAGAGTCTAGCTATAAATTCCACAGGTTGGTCTTCGATGACAGCAGCTCCAGTGGATATAGCTATCCGCAGATTCGTTACTGCGGATGCGATGGCCCGTTTCATCGGCTCACACAAAAGCTGAGCCATTCTTGGATGATGTTCTTCTTTTCCCTCTTCTTCTCTCTTCTATCTTAGAGTACACTCTAAACAATCACTATCACTATAAAAACAAGATATTACAACACAATCACTGAACACAGTCAACACAGTAAAGTACAACTCGTTGACAGGTAACGTGCATTTGTTTACACCGGTTCTGAGGACGTAACCCTATTAACTAAACTACTGGATAGAAGAGTGTTCTTATTGTCAGTCTGTCAAAATAATTGAAGTAAATGTTTAAGCTTTATTATTAATTCATATCTGTAAATAAAGTGATCATATATTTGATTTCATATATTTGTACACGCACTACTTTAACGGGCGCAGTAAAATGTGCTACGGCACTTCATTTCAAAACATTGATGTATTAGAAAAGGGTTCTTTAAAGATCTAAAAAATTTTGTTTCCTAGAAACTTTCTCCTACATATTCTATGATATACTAATCATATTTTTATTAAAAACCATTTTTTTAAAGTTACTACTTCATGCTGTGGACGAAATTATATGCATTCATGAACATGGAACATACATGTGTCATATGGCTACCACGGCCAGAGACGGCACTGGATTCTCTTTGCAGTCATTCTATTACTGCCAACATTACTGGTAGAAAATATTTCCGTAATATTAATACCGCAATTTCATTATATCAAACAATTATGCAGCAGTTTGGTGTGTAATTATATCTTATTCTTCTTATTATACAAGAGCAAAAGTATAAATTAAAGCATGACATGCTTTTAGAAGAAATTACTATTGCAGACCTCATGAAAGCACGTGTTGCAGGCTAGGGATTTCATAGTTTTCGATCTGTCAAAAAACCACACGGAACTCGTGGACCTACTATAGATTACTTTAAGGCTGCTGTCTGGCTAGAATAAGTTTCGGCGTTGACTCGAGCGTTGACTGGTGGCGAGAGTACGAGCTCTGACAGGAGCGTCATGGCTGCAGTATTTAGGGGTTCCTTTGCAAAGAGTGCCAGGGTGATGATTACAATTACATATCTGTGAATTGGTATAGATCTGGTGATTTCTATATTTAAATTAAGTAATTATGCGAATTGGATGGAATAAAAAGTTACAAGTGAGACTCGATGCCTGCGTGGTGCATTAAGCGGCCTGCTTAAATATTGTGATACATTTGGTGCATATGTTAGGCATTAGCTAGTGAAACTGCTAGGGCGTAGATATATCTAATTATGGGCTACCATTTAACGCTAGGCGTATCTGTTTCCTGTGAAAGTGGGGGATGTAATGCCAACGAATGAGAGCGACGTGTAGGTATACAGATTTATGATTTATTGTAGATAAGATAAGTTGACTTACAATGGTTGGTAGGTTTGAAAGGGTTGATGTTGCACTTCACTGAGTTCTTTCTGTGGCAATCCGTCGCCTGTTGTTACACTCGCGATAGATTTAATAGAACGCTCACCGCGATGACTTCCCTGGCCCTCGACTGGGAAGGCTTGGTCACAAGGATCCGAAGACACGTAAAATACTACCAGCGGAGGAACAAGCAAGACTCGATGATTTAAACGGTGACTCCTAGAGAAGTTCCGTCTGTTGCCAGAATTCTGTGCCTTAGCTCCAATTTTGGGGATAATGCACCGCAATATTGATGATCTTGCAGAAAGAGTCTTGCTTCATTCCTCGCGCTGGCATGTAGTGTGAGCGCGTGGCCTGCTACTCAGCGTTCCAGGAATTACATGAGGCAATCGAAAAGTTCGATGTGCCGAAAAGAATTTACCGATTGCATTTACTTGAGGAGATCCGCTTTAGGATATAACATATATATACGGACTCACAAAACTTCAAAGTCGATTTTCTTGAGAATTTTTTCATATGACATAGAAATGCTTTGGGAAATTACTATTCGAGTTCTCAACTTCACGTACCATGAGTAAAAAAGATTACAAAAATTCGATTATTGGAGACTCTCCTTGTAAGAAATATTCTAATATTCCGTTACGTTTGCAATATTAGTCTTTGCGACGGTCTATGCTAATTATTAACAAAATAATAATATAATGCGTGCAGATTGTAGAAAGTTTTAGTACTAAGCTGAAAAAGTTATATTTTATTTGTTATTCACAATTTAATTGTCTAAACGACTAACGAGTGACTGACTAATA